AATCTGTAGCATATTTGCATTTTGGGAATGGAGGTTCCCCCAAAATTTGGGGCTTCAGGCTCGAGGTGGTGTTATTTTAGCCTTTCAGACTGCCTCTTGGGCACCACGATTCAGGATGCATTAGTGTGGTGGGAGCTCAGCTTTGAGCTGGCTGCTGGGCTATTCTGATAAGAGAGAAAACAGCTCCCAGCTTGTTTAGTGTTGTAGCTGTGGGAGCTGCTCTGTCTTCATCAGGCTCAGGAGAGGATTTTGGTTCTGAATCCCCCAGAGCAGCTGAGCTATTTACCTGCCCCAAGGGCATCTTGGTATTACGCACTTGAATTTTCACCAGCCTCATCCAGTGATCCAGCTTTAGGACTGTTCAAACCCCCCTGACCAGCGATGCTTTTAATTTAACAGTAAAGCAGTGAGGTGTTGCCTTGGCAGAGAGGCAGAGAAAGGGTTTAGAGAAGCTTAGAACAGGGACCTGAGGAGGTGTGTTGGTGCGTATTAGGGGCGCTTTGAAACCAGCCAGTGTGTCTAGGTTTTCAGCAAGAGGTCATAGAATCAATCATATCATAGAATACCAGGTTGGAAGGGACCTCAGGGATCATCTGGTCCAACCTTTCTAGGCAAGAGGTCTGCTTGTTTTGTCCGCAGTTCTGGAGTCGGTGCGGCTCATATCCAGGTGATGTCCTATGCATGCCAAAATAGGATGGTGCCTGGAGCTGTGGCCTGGAGAGGTGTGAGGACATAGTCTCTCTTCCTTCAGCCTTGTTTTTAAAGGGAATACAGCTCTGCGTGCCTGATTGCAGATCTTCCTGAACTTGGCTAGCTGATTTGTATCTTGGTCAGTGTTCTTGTCAGATCTGCTTGCGTTTAGGTGAGCCAGGCTAACGATGTGGCTTTGCATGTTTTCCTTGTCTCCCCTGGCAGGATTGCTGTGCGTTGCCTCCGAGCAAGCAACAGTGGCAAATTAGGCTCATGGGGAAGCAGCTTTTGGCGTGATCTGAGGGACAGAGCAGCTCGTTACGTGGCTTTGTTCAGCAGATAGCAACGCAGTTTTGGGGAAGGGGTTACGAAGGAGTTGGCAGGAACTTGGTGCTGCAAAGTGAAACCAGAGTCACAAAATGCTTTGAAGTAAAAATGCCTTTGCTGGACTGGGAAGTCAGTGCAGACCAACCAAGTCTGGCTGGAACTGGAGGGAGCAATGGGACCGGCAGGAGCTGCATGTGACTCAGGGGTGCATCCCAGTGCTGCCTCTGAGCCACCACGGTGCTGCTGGAGATGACCCAGCACTGGGGACACTCAGTGGCTGTTGATTAACCCAGGGGCTTTCCCTCTCTGTGAGCTGGGACATTGTCATCGGTCTTTGAGCAGCCCAGCTGAGCTGGGCTTGGGAGCAGAGGAGTGCAGGGTACCCTCCTCCTGTCACACTGCCAGGGGACGAGTGAGCCCCGTGCTAGCAGGGCCCTGGGCCACCCTGAAAGACGTCCTGGTCTGGAAACAGGAAGGTCTGGTTACGCCACAGGAGCAAGAAGGTAAGTGTAATAACACGAATGGCCTCAGCACGGAGGAGTTCCTCCAGTGCTCATGTCTCTGGACGTGCATGGGTCCTCCTCCCAAGTAGGACTTGGGAGAGATCTCAGACCTTATGCACACGCTCCTGCTTAGCCCCAAACCACTCTTCTTTGCAAAGAGCGAGCCATGGCCTTAAATAAAATTGACTTAGAGTGCTTCTCACTAGTCCTCGTGAAAAAAAGCAAGGTGACACTGTACCTGTTAAATCTGAACGTCAGCAGCTTCTCTGGTGCCAAGGTATTTGTGAGGATTGAAAATGCTAATGCTGTTGGAGACTGGAGTTGGTCCTGTAGCAAGCTGGTGCTATGCCTCAGGTAAGGAAACATCAGTACCATGACATATGTTTCGTACGTCTCTTGGAAGGAAGATGGATCTGGAATCGCCACCGATGTATTTGAAATTATTTCATTGCATTGCAAAATCTGCAAGGGAATTCTGAATAGGCTCTTGGGCTCTGATTAATTCTGAAACTGAAATGCGGCTGCATCTCCACAAAAGTGCTGATCCTCTATGACTCTAATTTCTTCCTCCCTTGGAGCTTACTGTGTTATTTAATGGAAGTCACACATCTAATCAGTTTGATTCAGCAATGATGTAGCTGTATTACTTGACTTTCTCTCAAAAAATTCTATAGAATGAGGGAGTAATGAAAAAGTGGGGTGCATAAAGGAATAAAATATTTTTGGTACAGTTTTGGGAAGGAAATCTCTCAAATCCTGAGTTGCGCTGTGAGACGTAGTGGGTAATCATCCTGTATTCATCTTCTCCGTGCGAGAGCTGGGAGGTGCCATTGGAACGGGCAGGCAGCAGGCTCTGGGAGCAGGAGACACCTTTCCGTGTAGGCAACTGAAGAGCAGAACTTGCCACTGCTGGCTGTGGCAGAGCTCAGCGAGCGGGTGGGCTATAAAGGAATTAGGGTGGTCCATGGAGAAACTCCAGGCTGCCTAATCTCTCAAACCCTGAGTGCTGGGAATGGGAGGCACTGACAGGGGGTCGTTTGGCCTTTGCTTGCTTCCTAACTTGTCCTTAAGCGTCTGTTATGGGCTGCCATCAGAGGTGAGCTACGGACCTGTGTCTGTCTTCAACGCAAGGAGCTGCGGAGCTTCTGCCTGATCTCCTCTGGGACTTCTGCTTGCTGTTAAGCTTCTTGAGCTGGGGGTTTTTGCTTGTTTAAACAACAACCAGTCTTGTGGCACAGTTACGTTCAGTGTTATGCTACCATAGTATTGGAGTAAATCTTGCGTTTATTTGCTCTAGATTATTGCAGGTTATGTTATCAACATTATTAACTAGATATCAAATGGATGATGTAATGCAGTGTTTATCCTCTCAGGAAAAATTAAGTAGATGCACAGGACTCCAGGCAACAGCTGCTGATATTGCTGGGTGCTTTCCCATGGATGTTATCAAGCATTAATTTGGGCTGTTTGTGAACTTCAGTGAAAGTCTCATGGAAGAGCTCTCTGGTTCCCCAGAGATTTGGCTTGCGGCACCCTCCTTTTCTTGTCTGAGTCTCTGTGGAGCAGATTGCTAAGGTGCAGAGGAACTCAGGTTTGTCTTTAATGTTTTTTCTGAATCCCATCTTTGCATCCATGAGAACACCTGGAGTATTGTAGTCCATCTTCTTTCCTGAGGCCAGGTCACCAGCTGGTAAGGTCTGAACAGAAAGCACCTCTTGAGTTGGAGGGGGGGTGTTTTCCAGGGCCAGTAGCAGCCTGCAAGGCAGCCTGGCCGCGGTGTGCTCTGTGCTCAGAAAACTGGCTTTTGGGGGCTGAGCTCAGCTGCCCTGGTGCTCTGTGCACGCCTGAGCCTTCCCCAATGCCCCTAAATGTGTAAGGGCTGGGGTTCAGTTTTGAAGTGTGGGGTAATGGCCTCTCCTCACTGGTAGCTCACGGGCTTCCTTGCAGCCCCTCTTGGCTCTTGTCGGATGTCACGGCCAGGCCGGTGAGCTCTGCAGACACACGATGCTTTCCGCAGCTGTGTGCTGTGGCTTGGGAGCCCGCGGCAGAGAGCAAAGAGCTACCCCAGTTCATTCTTTTCATTTTGGCTGGTTTTTCTTTAAATGTTCAGGTTAACCAGGTCCTGGCAGTGCTGTTTCTGCAGCCCGGGTCTGGACAGCCAGCAGGCACTTGGTCAGCCCATCAGGAGGTGAATAGCACTGGAGAGAATCCCAGAGGCGGCAGCAGGTCCTGACAAGTGCATGTAACCCTTTGTGGGTGGTGTGGATAAACCATCCTTGTTTTAAGCAGGGGGGTTTTGTGTCTGGTTTTCCTGATATCCATACAGAGGAGCTGCGCGAAGCAGTAATTTGAATCTCTGGCTGAGGACAGATGAGCCCGGGCTGCGTTGTGGAGATTATCTGATTGTGCTTTGGATTTAATGCCCTGAGAAATCTTGCTTTGGTCACAGCACCAGGCTTCCAGCGAGGATCCCACTCTTAGTTGATTTGCCTACGGAGTTATGGTGGCACACAGAAGGTCAAACGACATGTCCGAGGTCCCGAGGTAAACAACTGCAACGAATGCTCCTCCGGAGACTCGCATACAGTAGAGCAGAGAGGGGAGCTTTGTCCATCTGACGTAGCTGGATTGAACGGTGAATAACCTTCTCCTCCGGCAGTCCTTTGTGTTAAAGGACTGCTTCTGTCCTGCTTTGCCAGCAGAGCTCTCCATCCTCGCACCGATGGAAGAGCCTGACCCTCCTGGAAGCAGCAAGTTTTCTGCAGCTGAAATCTGACTGCAGAAGCGTGGGAGAAATCTGCTGTTCTGCGAGCAGCCTGGCTGTTTCTGCACGGTGGGTTTGTGGTGCCGGAGGCGCAGGGCTTGTGCTTAGGGAAATGCAGCTGAGTCGCTCAGAAAAAGAACAGACTTTTCCCTTAGTCCTTAACTTGGGTTTCCATCTGTGCCTTGCGCGAGTGTGTTGTAGGCATGCGCCCTCTTGCTGTCTTGCCCAGGACCAGGATGCTGAGTTGAGGAGGTGCTGCTAGGGTTAAGAGCGGGGTAAAGGAGGGGATACTTCGCCTGGTCAAGGATTGCCAGGGCATCCTCTTTCTAAAGGAGGCTGCAGCACTGTCTGCCATTTATTTCTTCCCTCCTGGCTCTGGGGTGACGCTGTGCAGGCTGGAGGCAGCAAATGTGCATGGAAGAGGCAAGGCTGAGGGGGAAGTCTGGCTCGCTCACAGGGAAAACATCCCCTTTTTTTTTTTTTCATTTATTTTTTTGTTCTGCATAAAAACCAGGCAGAAGTAACCACTGATACTGCTTTTTCAGCAGGGATTTTTGCTATCTTTCCTTTCAAGGTAAGAGCTGTCTGCCGTGGATCGCGTGTGGTGCTTGCAGGAGCAGTGGGAGTTGGGCCACATCCCTGCAAGCTGCGCGCGAGGGAGCGGGCGGGCACACGCGTGGAGAGGGCAGCATCCCCGGCTTGCTCTGTGGCACGGGTGAGAACATGCTGCGGAGCAGGTCCAGGCTGTGCTTTGGAGATGCTGCTCAGAAACGCCGTTGTGGAGGAGGGCAGTTGTGATTGCCACCATCAGGGTGTCCGCCTCTCATCCGACCCTGCTCGGCCCGGTCTCTTCTTGCTACCCCTAAAGCCCCTTTTAAAGGGTTAACAGGCTTTCGGTCAAATGACATTTTGCCAGCACCTGATCTGCCTTTTGTGCTCATACCAAGCACATTTGCCTGCCTTCCTAGTCTCAGTATTTCCCTGTTTCTGGAGCGGGCAGAAGCCCGTGGCACACAGATTTTTTCCTGGTGGTGTTGGCCACAACGCTGTTCCATTTTTAAAAGGAAAGAGGCTGGCCTCAGTGAGGGAGCTCAGCATCTTTGGAGCTCTCAACTTTGCTGTTAAAGATGTATTTACAAAAGCCTGGAAGCTGAAATTTGTGTCTGTTTGATGTGCAACGAAGCTGGAAGCAGTCATATCCTTTTATTTATTCAATTTTAGTGTGGTTTTTCCTCTTCTAAATATCGGAAGTTTTTTTTTTTTTTGGAGGAAGACCTCCAAAAACACACAGCAGCAGCTTTTGAAGTGCCAACATCACTGAACGTGGTTGAGTATGAACAAATCCTGCGTCCTGTCTCAGTGGCTGGAGCCACTGCTCACGTAGGCAAAACAAAGCCGAATCACCGTGGGTCTCCAGTTATCAAATGCAGGAGGAGCGAGGACATCGCAGGCCGCGTTTCTGCTCGTGGGAGTGGATCTCAGCTGCGCTGTGAGGCTGACTCAGAGCTGCACGGGGCCAGCGCTGCGCCATCAGGGTTTGCACGTGAGTTAGACTTGCCAGCGATCTGGTCCGTCCTTCTCAGATTTGTCTCACCCTTGGCCATTTTGTCTGGGAGGAAGCAGCCTGAAGCCCCCGCGGCTGCTGCCAGAATGGCATTAACAGGCCAAATCTTTGGGTCTCCAAGCAGTGCAGGAGTTATCTGTGGCTGTCCTCTTCGTGGTGTTATCTACTGAGTGCGTTGAGCTAGTGGGTGAGCTTTTACGGCACGTTCGCATGTCCTCAGGTAGGGCCTGTCGCAATGTTACCTGGTCCCTGGTCCCACTACATGCCACACTTCAGTTGATTTTGGTGACAGACGTATTTGGGGAGCAGGTCGGATGGGCAGACCTTTCCTCTTGCTGTGTTTGAATCCCAGACTGTTTCCACAGTGAGCCTGCGTGATGTAGCAGAGGGAAATGCAGCCAGTGGGGAACTCGGGGCCCTAACACATCAGCTCCTCTCATCGCCGCTGTAGGCAGCTGGGAGAGCTTCCTGGCCACCAGTTTTGGAGGTATCAGTAATGGGGATTGTGGGCTTTGGGGTATCGATCCCTAATTAAGTAGAAATCTGGAGGCGAGGTTGCTGAGCAGGGAAGGAGGTGGATTACGAAGCCTTGTGTTTCCACACACGCTCTTTGGCTGTGCTCACTGTAGAGAAACCTCAGACAGACCTCTTGAGGCTGGGAGTTACGCCCTGGTCAGGGGGGATCCAGAGACCTGCTGTTTGTTCTTCTCCTCACCCAAAAGCTGCCTGAAATGAGACCCTGGGTCGACCAGGGAGCACAGAGCCAGCCGTAGGGCAGTCTGCCCGGATTGAAGCTGTGCGGGCCAAGCCCTTTCTGGCCTTGAGGCTGCGATGGAGTCGTGCTCTCCTGGTTGTGTCTGTCCCTGCTGTGCTCCGGCAGGGAGCGGTGGGAATCTGGATCTTTTCTCTTTTGTTTTCTTTAGCACAGCTCCAGCCTAGCCTGTGCATAGGCTCCCACACAGCTGTGGTTTAGTCCCTCCTGTCCACACTGAATCCAGGCCACCCATAAAGGCCACAAGCTCTGAGGCAGTAGGGGAGGATGAGGTGTGACCGAGTGTACCTGTGCAGCGCCGCGGCAGTGCCGCAGGGCAGGTGAAGCTTGCTGGAGCAGCGAGCCCCGCCACGGCTTGCTGTCCCACCCATACTGCAGCACCACGCGCCGGAGAGCGTGCCAGCATGGGCGATGCTTGCCGTTGCCACGGCCGAGCATGCCTTCAGGTCACCAATCTGGTCTTGAGGGAGAGAACGGGCTTGCGCTGAAAACACAGGGCAGAAAATACCCCGCCAGAGCTCGGTGTGGTCAGCCTAGCAAAACAGAGTCTGAGTCAGGGCATGATGGCTCTTTGCAGCAAGCAGGGAGCGAAGGAAAGCTGCTCAGGCTCAAGAACGGATGAGTGTAATCTGGCTACAAACAAATTAGAAACTGTGAGGCCGTTAGAGCAGTGGGGGCCTGGAATGGGCTTCCCACGGGAACAGCAGGAGCAGGATGGCCAACACACCGCTGGCATGTGAAGGGAAGTTTTAGGGGGTTGTCCCCAGAAAGGGGAAGAGGGA